CACTATTCTAACATAGGTATTTTGACACAAAATCGGACTTTTTCTGAAATAACATACCAATTTTTTTCCATATTTCGATTCTACGACACAAATTATGCCAGAATGCCAAGTTTTGTAAAAATCGTACAAGTAGTTTTTAAAATTAGTTTTTAGGTCTAAAATTTTAGCTCCTCAATGTTAATTGAATTTGGCAAATATTTATTAATATCTCCTTTTTTATTAAACTTTTTTAATTTTTCCTTTCACATTTCGAAATTTAGGTTCATTCCAAATAAAATTTACCCATTTTTTGTGTTTTATTTTTTAAATTTCTAATTTTAAATAATTTTATAAATTTTTCGAAAACAATTTTGAAATATAACTTATAAAATTTTTACTATCACTTTAAAGTAGGTGTATTTCTAAGCATATGTTAAAAAAATTAGACTTTTTTATTCAAAATTTTCTAAGATATACACGAATTTACTAATTTCGCGTTTTGAAATTTGGCATCTTTTTTTTGAGCGATAATAACGCCAACTGTGGTTTATGGATTTTTGTTACAGTGAATTGCCACAGCTATTTTTAACCTTAAATTTCAAGTAAAATTTTACGGAGAATTAATTATTTGAAATTTTTTCCCTCAATGATGCGTAATAAAAATTTATTAATACTATATGAAAAGCTATTTTTTTTAAATTATAGATGATATTATTCAAATTTTTAACTATTTTTTTAAATTTCTGTCTTTCTTCCTTTTTAAAAAAAATATTTGTAAAAGTAAATTTTTATCTTCGGCGTTTTATCTTCTGCTACTTTACTTTAACTTCATTTAAATCGAATTGTCTAAAACTGAGAACTTTCATTTGATATTTATTTGAATTTTACGAAGATATTTCATGACATTAACTGCATAATTTATTTCTAAACAAGCTGTTGCTTATGAAGTGGCTGAAAGAGCGGCTTATACTATCTATCATCTATATTTTTAAAGCACAGTATATTTTTATAGAAACATACCATTTAGAATAATCATTTTTATAAAAGTCAAATTATGATATAAACATAGAACCCTCTAGAGACCGAATTAATGGAAGTTCAATGGTTATGTAGAAATGATCTGCAGCTAGTACGTAATGGCTGGATAAGCCAACAGATTCTGTAGACAAGTAAGAATAATTATATAAACGACACCCAAATTCTGGATTCAATTAACAACGAGGGTACGATGTTTATTAAATGAATTTAAGAAATTTTTAAACATAAAAAATCAACTCATTTTTTATCCTAAAATGTATTTTTATGCGTAGCGTATTTTCATTATATCCTTAAAATTCTAATTTAGAATGTAACTGTCAAGAACTGAATTCTAATAATCAGTAATATGATAAGTAATTATTATGGTTATTAATAAATCCTTCTTAGAAAGTAATTGCAAATATTTCAAAAAACATTTGTCTGAATGCAAATATTTCTAATTTTATATTAATCAAGATTGCACACGATATTATTTATTTGCACTTCAATTCTTACCGTCACCTCTAGTAGAAGTTACGAGGCCCAACAGCGGCTGAGCGGTAAAGTCGCTGAACACTGGTAGTTCGGTCTGAGGTTCGAATCCCGCGAACGTGCTGGCTGCATGGGTGTTTTCTTCATGTGTAACGTGTATACGAGCCAGTTTCTCTTAGAAAGTCCTCCACGAAGGCATCCCTCCCTTTAGGCAGATAGCCCTAGTGTGCTTTGCCATACTTAAATACACACACTAGTAGAAGTTACAAATCAATTATATTTAATTAAGGAATGACCATCTAAGTTTAGAAACAGAGTACCGTAACAGCAATTCAATTATTGGCATCACAGAGCAGCAGTTGCAGTGTGAACAGTTTTGTCTTATCTACCGTGTCTGCCGTTGTATTTTTAATCTAGCTGCACATCTTACAGGTATTTTTATACGATTTTATTACACCTGCTATGTATGTTTGTGGTTCCGGTAGAAAATTTGTAATTTATTTTTCGATAACTTCTATTTGTCCAAATGTTGAAAGTTTTCTTCCATTTTTGGCCATATTAAAAATTTTGTTATTCTGACGATGGGAAAAATTATTTTTTTCTTTTTAGTGCCGTTACATATATTAATAAAATTGTATTTTTTAAAAAGATTTTTTTTTTTAATTTTTATTTTCATCAATTTAATAATGATAATAATTTTGTACTGGTGGCTTTAGAAAAAAATATATTTGGAATATTTTTATAGGCATCCCAATTAACATGGCTACCAAAAAAATGCAAAGAAAAACGGAAGATGAAAACCGCGAATTTAAAGTTGAGTGGACCGAGAATTTTGCGTTTATTCAAAACTTGAAAGGACTTCTGACATTTCTTATTTGTAAGGAGAAATTCGCGCATAACAAGAAGTCAAATTTAGAAAGGCAATTTACAAGGAAGCACGTGTCGTTTAGCACTAAATATCCTACCGGTGATGCAAGGAAGAAAGCAGTTGAGGAACTTCAGAAGAGTCAAGAGTCGTCAACAGCTATTTCGGGATTTTAAGAACAAAGCAGATATTCTGAAAGGAATTAAAGAGTTACCATTGTCTGCCAAAACCATTAAAGATAGAACAATTAAAATGTGTTCGAATATAACCACCCAGCATATCGGAGATCTGAAATTGGTTTCGGCTTTATTAATAGAAGTTGACGAGTCTTGTGGCATAAATGATACAGCGCAAGTTTCACTTTTTGTAAGATTTATGTCTCATTCAGGCCCTAAAGAAGAACTTTTAGGATTATTGCCACTCGAAGGTCAAACGCGGGGAGAAGATATCTCCAATGCCGTAACTGAGTGTATGGATAAACATCATATTCCCCTGGATAAAATTGTGTCGATTTTAACAAATGGGGCCAAAAGTATGACCGGCGTAAGAAAAGGGGTTGTTGCTATTTTGAAAGAAAAAATTAATCACGAGATACTTGTTTACGATTGTATCATTCACCAAGAAGCACTTTGTGCGCAAACATTTCTGGAAGAAATTTGTAAAGTTATGGAATTAGTGATTACCATTATCTACTCCATTTTAGCTAAAGCTCTTAAACATCGCCAATTCAAAGAATTTTTATTTGAAATGGAGAGTGAGTACACTGAGCTTCTGCTTCATGACAAGGTACGTTGGTTATCAAGAGGGAACGTTTTAAGACTTGTCGCGTCCCTTTTCCCGGAAATTAAAGCATTTCTCCTTGAGAAGGGCGTTCACTATCCAGAACTAACAGACGATCCCAAACTTTTATTTCATAGTAGACGTTACGTCTCATCTGAATCAGCTTAATCGTAGACTACAAGGGAAAGGAAACTTAATTTTTTTTATGTTAGAAGAAGTAATAACATTCGAAAACAAATTATACATTTTTGAACCGGATTTTGAAAATGAAACATTGTTTCACTTTCCGAGCCTGCTGAAGCATCGCCAAGAAAATAATTCCTCTATTGATAAACACCATTTAAAACAATAATTTTAAATATGAGGGAAGCATTTCTCAGCAGGTTTAAGGAATTTAAAAACTGCAGAGCAACTTTAGTATTTGTCGAAAATCCTCTTAATGCTACGATAAGCGAGTTGAAATTTTCTCCTTTTGAAATTGACATTGGTAGCTTTGAAATACAATTGCTGGATTTAAAAAACAAGGAGATATGGCGCTCTAAATTCGAACGTCTTTGTGTTGAATTGGAAATATTGGAGAACAAAAAATGTGATCTTAGTTCACAACACAAGTGGTCTGTTTTGAATGACCTGGAGAAGGAAGACATGATCATTTTCAACGCTTGGAATAGTATTCCTGACTCTTACGGTCAGCCGAAAAAGCTCGCGTTTGCTGTTCTTTCCCTTTTCGGTTCTACATATATATGCGAATAATTTTTTCAAGCAGGAACTTTATCGAGAGTAAACTGAGAAGTCGTCTTATTTATGATAACTTTGAATCATGCCTAAAATTAAAAACAACATACAAACCTGACTTACTCAAACTTTCCAAGGAGATGCAAGCACATTGTTCGCATTAATAAATATTTATTAAGTATTACATTTAGTTTTATTTAGTGTAATAAAAGTTTATTAAACAAGCAGATTTGCCTCCCAATTTTTTTTTAATTGTTGTAATGTTCATATTTGACTCTTTGGCTAATAAGTTTACCGACCACTAGTCTAGGGCAATAAATTACTGCATTAGAAATAATATCGATGACTAATGCTTCAGTAAAAATGAAGCGAGATTTATCTTTTCTGTGGGACAGTTTCAATGAAACGACGTCAAATGATCTCGGGGGAAGGCGCTTTGGAAGCAATACTGAAGTGAAACAAGCCGTTCAACGCTTCTTCCATATGCAAAGCCCTGATTTTTTCCTGGAGGGCTTTTTGAAGCTTATCAAGCGATATGACAAATGTCTCAATGTACTTGGTACCTATGTGGAAAAATAAAGGTATGTCATATCTTTAATGTCTCATTCTATTTTTTGACTTTCATACACAACTCTGACCACAGTCGACAGGGAAACTTATTTTTCAACTTACCTACGTAGAATCAGGTTTATTTTCTTTGACTGGTACAGAAGGTTTTGGGGCTTTGTTCAGACATAAGGGAAAATGATAAAAATTGGAATCCCACATTTTACAAGGATATGAATTAAATTTAGCGCATTTCGACGAAATATTCGAAGCAGAGAAAACATCGACCTTCTTTACGTAATTTTTCACGTTTTTCAGGAATAGAGAATCTTGGAATCGTGTAGGTCAGTGGGACAAAAGACGCAAGCACTTTTAATATTTGTTTTTAATAATGACGCTGTCGGTGTCTCACTCTTATAATTACTAATAAATTTATTATTACTGTGCTTATATCTTTCTCTTTTAACGTTAGATTGATAATTACAATTTTGTATGTTGACTGTGGCTTCTCTACATTCAGTTTCAATTTTAATGAAAGAAAGAAGCTCTTCTACATCCATTTTTTTCCGAGTCAGCTCGTTTACGATTAAAATCGAGAGCAATTTCTGCGGGTAACAACTAACTCTGTCCAATGAAAATTGGACAGAGTAAATGTCCATAGTATGCCGGCTGTAACACCAAGAGAATTTAAATTTCTAATTTGAATTTCGCAACTATCATAGAGCTCTCGCAATTTCTTAACATTAGCAGCATTTTTTACTTGCTTCAGATTCAAAGGTTTGCTCATATGAGCGTTAATTACTAGGTCTTGGTGACCAAAACGATTTTTTAATAAATCAATAGCTGAATTATAATTCTCTTCAGTAAGTGAAAAACCTGCAACAACATTAAATGTACTACTGACAAGTAGCGATTTCAAGTATGAAAATTTATCAATGGGAGTCAAATTTGGATTATTATCAATAGCATTAGTAAATTGACCCCAGAAATCTAGCCAAGAACAAGAATCACCATAAAAATTTGGTATAGTAAGTTTTGGCAATTTTACTGAATGATCGACATTAGTGTTTAAAGCGCTAAAATCATTTCTTAATTGAGTATTTTGAGAAGCAGTGATTTGGTTAAGCATGTTACGTTCATTTATAAATTTCGTGATTTTGTACCGTGATTCAATTATTTTTTCACTATAATGTTCAGCACTTTCGATTTCTTTGTCGAAATCGTCACCGGTATAAAGATCTTGAATATCTGAATTTAATTTCTTTAAAAAATTTCATATTTCTCATTCAACTGATCTTTGCAGATATTCAAAAGATCAAACTTTTCATCTAATGCTATTGATTCGTTTTCAAGAATGGTATGTATTTTATTACATAATTTTGTTGTCTGGGTTCTCATCCCAGTACGCCGTTTAATTAGAGTATCAATTTCCGTCGTCATTTTAAGTTAACAGTGTAACTTTATCAATCAATAAATTATCACAGAAATGATAAAACAGCTTACCTTGAATCGAAACAATCCACTCCAATCCAGTCGCGGGACGCCAGCAAATGAAGATGCGTAAGGTAAGCTTTCATCAGTCGTGTTCAGATCAAAATAATCTTTCAAATTAAACTAAACTAACTTTATTAACAAATTTCTAAAATTATCATTATTATAAACCGAGGATTTAATCTCGTTTCATATAGAAACTATCCGGATACATGGCCAGAGACTCGCTTCAAACCCTTATCTAATCTAATCTCAGCTGCTACATAAAAGAAAATATATACGGTTACCTTAAAATACTTGGCGAGAATAAATCGGTGCCAAAGCGTAATACAAGGGGGTTGCAACAAGCTCCTTGGCAATGGAGGCTAAGCATTGTGCAGGAAACTAATGGGAACGCCAGAAAATATCCAAGGCACAAATTATTTTTGCAGTTTAGATGTGATTCTTAAAGCGAACAGACTGATAACAATGCAATGAGACCTCTTTTCATGGCAAGCAGAAGCTATAGATCTCATACGCAATTATTCTCCTCCCCTCCCTGTCCATTAACGCGCAAAGAGGGGTGAAGATTTCAAATAGCATCCTTTCTACTTCCTAACAAAGAGGCTTCCGTTATACTTTTAGGACAAGTTGTCTGCAGTAAACTGATACAGTGCAAATACACTTCCTACTGCATGTCTTAGGGGTGGGGAAGAAAACAACATCGAAATCTCGGCCATTTCGGGTGGTTGTAATCGTTTGAATGAAAGGCTGTCTCGGATATTTTGGCCTTCAGGAGGTTAAAGAGTTGCTGATGGGCTTACTAAATAAGATCAGAGGTGTTCAAATCGGCTGTTATTCGGCGGATTAAGAGTTTGAAGAATTCTAGGACTGTATCTGGAATTCAAATAATCGTATCCTTGAAGCAGTCGTTCAGTATCTACATTGGTGGGAAAAGTAATTTCTTCAGCTGACAGGAGACAAGATTTTCTTCGGTTAGCACAATCACTCCGTGGATCTGAAAAGAAAAAAGTATTGTTTCGTCTCGGTAATAATTTTATCAAACATGAGAATGATTTTAAAAGAGCTTATTATAAAAATCCTGCAAAAGAAAAATGCACACAACGTTCATCGGATTCAGCAATTATGGAGGATCTTATCATGGAGGATCTTATCATGAAGAGGTCTAAAAAGAATTCATTCATTACTGGTACCTCACTTAGAAACATATTCAAGCATAAACTGGAATCGTCATTAGAGTTTCACATGGGTAAATCGGGATCTTCAAACAGGACCTAACCAGTTAAAATTGAAACGTAAAACTATTTCTGACTGGGTTACATAGTCCAACACACACACATAGAGCTGATTAATACTAAAATCTTTTTCCCTCGCTCCTTCTCAGCAGAATTTTGAATTTAGATAATAAATATCATTTCAAAGTTTGTTTAATTCTAGAATGTTATTAGAAAAACAAGATAGAGAGTTTACTACCAAAAATTTTTAAACAAATTTATTTAGTACCTCAGCCAAAATAACCAAAAAAATTCCCCAGATGCTTAGGGTTTATACAAGGAAGGACTGTCCCTTTATCATTCACCGACAATGTGTTACCTATTTAATGAGAATGAATAATACTGAATGTCTCCAAATGATGGAACTATTACCCAATAAAATGTTTTATGGTCCACTTAGGAGATATTGGCAGTAAATTTACGTGCACATCTATCTTCATATTCTCGAAGGAAAAATGCTAATAATCAATATAGAATAAAATGTCAGTCCTTTTGTAACTTACTTAATTCAGAAGTTCTGGAAAGCAGTGTAGTACTGTAACATATAATTCTCTAAGTATTGAAGAAAGAACGTATTCTATGTCTTCTTCGTGTAGTGCCTATGAGGTATTGTATATGGTAGACCTGGTTATGCTTTGTTTTGGCAGTTTGGTAGTGATGATTTTAGCTGCTGCGTCAGAATTCAACGTCGTTGTGATTTAGTGCTGATCTTTTGCTGTTTAACGTTCAATAGCAAGCCCTCGATTTTAGACTTTTCGTAACTGTTCTCTGATTTCTTCAGTTTTTGAAAAGATTAGTAACATTAGCTTTGGAGTCTTCTTGCTGTCTGTGAAGATGTCGGAAGAATCTGTTGCTGCTCGTTTTTAGCTGCGTATCTGGGAATGCGCTTGTCATTTGAACTGCGTAATTTATCATTGCTGAGGCTGTGTCTGTAATAAGTGGATTGGAAGGTGTTAGGCCTTGAGTTTCTTGAGTTCTTATATGAGTGGGTATCTTATGTCTTTTGAGACTAAAGCTTTGCCAAATTTCTCTGTTGTCAGTGGTCTGGTTGAGCAGATTTGGGAGGACTGTTTGCCTGTAAACGACGATTTGCCGTTGTAGAGTTGGATGGAACAACACCTAGAGATGCGGAGCTTTGCGTTTTTTATATTGGTATAATAAGGGTGATACCCTGATTGCTTGGTTTCTGTAACAGTCTCACTGATTTGCTATGTCTTGATATTGGAAAAACACAAGTCAACAGCTGTGTATTGATAAAATTAGAGTATTTGCGCTGAAGCTCGATAGGAAGCACTGGAGCGAGTTCTTTGGCTCATTCTTACTGTGTCATGTTATTTAGGGCAAGGTCTGGGACTTACTCCTTCTTATGTTATATGTCTATGTTAGACATCAGGCATCCACCCTCCTTGTCCTGTGCCATGTTATTCCTTCTTCAAAAGCTCTCCATAAATTTGTGTTTTTACAATGAACCCACGTACATCTCTCAAACATCTGAATTCTTACCATGCTAGTGATTAGTATTTGCATACTCAAATCACACAAACCCGGGAATATTTATAAATTTTACAGTTCCGACAAAAATTGGGCCCTCAGCGTAAGTACTTTGATGATTATGCTATTCAACGTCTTGTTGTGGAGAGTTCCTAATCAGCCTATTGATTACATTGTATAAAACTGCCTATTTTGCTTGGCTATCAGAGATAGCCTTTATATTATCAGAAGTACAAGTTTTGGTGAAGTGAACAAATAACATGCTGATTTCGTGGTAATAAGTTAACTGAATATTTTAGAGCTTTAGCAATTAAACAGAACAGGCACTCAGTACGCAGATACAGTAATTAATTAAACAAAGAATCTCATTTATCTCTAATTTAAACTATCAAATTTAACACTGTAGAAATATAGTGAGCACAAATTGATCAGAATAATCACCATAATTATACTAAATAAATACTCTTGGCTAATTAATTACTATGAACTAAGTACAAACAATAGGTAGATTAACAAATTAAGCTACTTGAGTTATTACTGTTTGAACGCTATTAACTATTTATCATGCTAATGCACTGATTTAAGATTATAATATAGATGTTATAGTAAATTTTTTGTAAATAATAGATAGCATATTATTTATGTAAATTTCACGTACACTGGGATGGTTCGTTCATTGAGTGCTTAGTATATGATACACTCGATAATAACTTATTAAGTTAAACTTCCTCGATCATTGTTTTAGACTTATTGATGAAATACATTGTATAGCAATAATAATAATAATAATAGTGGACAGTGCAGTGTAGTGTGATGTACTGAACACTCAGAAATTATACTGACTGATAAAACAATGTATACTGAAAATGAATTATTCTATTTATTATTCACGGTATTGTAATTGCTCCACTGAATGGGCCACGAACCTAAAATTTAAGGGAGTTTTGGAATTGAGGTGAGGGTTTATTAGATAAGTATTATTAATATCGGTGTCTATGAGGAGAAAACAATAATATTAGGGAAGGACGCTGAAATAGAGTAGTAAGACAATCAGAATGTAAACTGAGGTAAAAATCATTTGGAATTTTAATCAGAATGTGACAGAAAATCGAAATAGTTCTCTAATCACTTTAGGTAGAAGGACAAAAGTAATTTAAGACTAGGGGTGTTAAAATCAGAGGAACAGGATTTGTTTGTTCCGGCAACCATTTTTCATATTTTATTTTGTATATTCAAATCACTTTATATATATATATATATATATATATAAAGTATTTTGTATAATACTAGAATAAATCTGAAAACAAAAAATAACTGAATAAATAAAATAAGTTAAATTCAATTTTTCGTTTTTGTAAAAAGTATATTTCTCACTAAAGTAAAATTAACTGGTACAGAAAATAATTTATTAGAATGCAAAATATAGAATTTCCTGAAGCTGTTCTTTAACATCTTATTGAATATTTCATGCGCTGTTTTGAAATAATTGATTGATTTTAAAACTGTATGTGTGCAGAAAAATAATTATTTCAAACTTACCCTTTCGCCTGACTTTGATTAATTTCCAAAGAATATTGAACTATTATACAATTGATTTGCTTATATACGTATAAAATATCTATACTTTTGTGTTTTTATTCATTATTTTTCTCTTCAGCATGTAGTTGTTGATAAGCCGATTATCAAGGAAAATCACCCTAAGTTACACTAGTGAAATTCCACACCTGCGCTGTACCTCCTTATGTTTAAAGGACATTATTATCATTAACGATTTAGTCATGTTATTGTTGATGTGTTTTCGTTTCCGTGTGGTTATAAATATTTTTTTAATATAACATTTAGTGGAATTTCCCAGGATGGCAATCTACCGAATGTTTCTTGTTTATGTATTTGGGAGTTGTGTTAAGTATTTGTTGTGAAAGTTGTGCTAGATTTTTGTTATTGTGTAACAGAAGATTTTAAGTTACAATGAATTTACGTGTTTGGTGACTATAATTTTAATAATGTCTAGCACTAGAAATTCTGTATCTGAAAATCAAGCATCTGCTTCGGAAAATGAAAGCGATCGCTATGATACGAAAGTGATTTCTAGTAAACAGCAGCGCAATACTTCCAATCAAAACAAAACGCTGCATGCTAGCCAAGGTTTAGAAGATTCTCATTCTCCGAGCAGTCAAAAGTAGGTATATGTTTGAGTTCCTGTTTACACCATATATTTTATTGGAATTCATGTTATACAACAAATTTAAAAAAGTTTATATTGTTTCCTTTAGATCATTTGTTATGCCTTACTAACTGGTTTGACCCAGGAAACACTGTAATATATTTGAATATTATGCAGTTCTCGAGTAACTTTCCCTTTTACTTTCCCGTTTTATTATTCTTCAGGAAAACTGCGTACTGTTACGATATTTATTGATATCTTAATCCTGCTCTTTAAAATATGCAATGTAGTTTGTTTACTTTATTTGCATTGCAAGATCTGGTTTAAAAAATTTTCAAAATAAGTTTAATTATTGATTACTTTATAAAGTACAATAACAATTCTACCTCTCTTTTTAATAATTAGTAGGATCACAGTTTGAAAAAAAAGTATTGATGCAATTTGTAATAGGAGTGAAAATTTGGTTTAAAATACTATCAGCTTGAACTACTTTTGTGTGATAAATTATGGAAGTGTGAATAAAGCATAAATTACAGTATACAGTTAAGAGTAAAAAGTAATATTTCGTGCATCAATATTGTTATACATGTGTGTTGTAATTTAATTTAATAATGAACTTTTATATGTATATCAGATTCTTTTTAATTTAATTATTAATTCCACCGACAACTTTGGTAGATTTTTTTTTTTTTTTTCTAAATTATTGACTTTAGGTTATAAATAAATCATTTAGATATCGCCAGTAATGTTTTGATTGCATATTCAAAATTGTTTCAATAGTTTTTTTTGATAAAAAAAATTATTTAAAAAAATTAAGGGCGTGTTCTTATATTGCTAATGATTTTCATTACATAATATATATTATGTAATGAAGTTCCAATGAAGAAGAAAATGTAACTAAATTGCAATTCTGAGCATGGAGAACAAATTTGAGTTGTAGTAATGAGAAGAAAACACTTGTACACTTAACATAAAAATGTTAAGTTTGTGCACCCTTATGTAAAAATCTTAATCTTGCTGAAGTGAAAATATGCTAGAAATTTTATCTAACAAAACTGCTTAATCATGAAAAATATTCACTGCAAAATTGGGAAAAAGTGCACAATACCATACTCCTTACGCGTTTTTCAAAATAACACATACACATAAACCATGTACACGCCGACTTATTTTTACTTAAAAAAAATCCCAGAATTGCACAAAAATGGCATTGCGCACACTGTTCACTATATCCATGTACACTGCTTTTTTCTCATAAATTAGAAAAATTTCACGAAAATATATGACAATTTTCTCAATCTTTAAACCCGGTAAAAAGAACATATATGAAATTACCTGATCGCGAAAAAGTATTTACCCTTTCCAAAGATGAACATTTCCACATATAAAATAAATAAAATATCCAAAAACTTTTACCTCTAAATCATCTATTACATTATACACGTCACCAACGAATTCATACCGCAAGCATTACAAGTACTTAGTATCAAATATTTAAATTATTTCCATGCACGTTTACTTCAACTTAAATGTGTACCAAATTCCTACAAACATAAAATTCACAAAATAACTATCATTTAATTAAAATATAACGAAACCATGTACACGCCGACTTATTTTTACTTAAAAAAACATCCCAGAATTGCACAAAAATGGCATTGCGCACACTCTTCACTATATCCATGTACACTGCTTTTTTCTCATAAATTAGAAAATTTCACGAAAATACATGACAATTTTCTCAATCTTTAAACCCGGTAAAAAGAACATATATGAAATTACCTGATCGTGAAAAAGTATTTACCCTTTCCAAATATGAACATTTCCACATATAAAATAAATAAAATATCCAAAAACTTTTACCTCTAAATCATCTATTACACTATACACGTCACCAACGAATTCATACCGCAACAATTACAAATACTTAGTGTCAGATATTTAAATTATTTCCATGCACGTTTACTTCAACTAAAACATATACCAAATTCCTACAAACATAAAATTCACAAAATAACTATCATTTAATTAAAATATAATTAAATTCAAAAACACTACTTAAAATATAAATGAGCACATACATTAAATTAATACATACATAAATACCCCATTTCGAATTCACTTTAGTTACGGCCATGGGATCCAAAAATTCACGAACACTGTTTTCACACAACACAGAATAAAGCCAAATACAAAATTTCCAGATTTTTTCCCGATTTCCCCCCCTTTTCCGATTAAAGAACCGTAATTCGTCCATTAATATCACATGACATATCCCATGATCTCTCATTTCCCTCACACAAAATAATGCGTAATCGGAACTGAGTACTGCTCACATTATTACCAAAGTCCCAGGTAGTAACTTTTATCGCCTCCAAAATGTCGCCAAACTACCAGTTACCATATTGTAAAGATCAACCGTAGTCTGTTACTTATGTAAAATTAATTTTCTGCTTTCAGATATGATATTTTTATTATTTTTAAATTAGAATATATCGATAATATCTTAAAAAGTTGGAGAATGTCATTGTTATGTTGTTCTGAAATATTTTAGAATTAAAATAACAGTTAATTTTTTTTAAAACTCTTAATGTATATCTTGATGTAGTTGACAGGCTTATTATTAATAGAGATTTACAGAAGTAAGTTTGAATAAATGTCATGACTTATTTTGAGATGACGAGACAATGATTTATTTAGAAATTCAGCAGTTCTGTATCTTGAATAGGAGTTTATGTCCAGTTTTATAATATTTTATTTTATAATGCCCAGCTCTTTGACTTTTGATGAGTCAGTTTATAGATATTTATTATTAATTAAATTAATTTAAATAATTTTTTTAAGTAATGTAAATTTTTAAGCAGAATTTTCTGGGATTTTCCTTGTGGTTTGTAATACAGTATTTTGTCTGTGGTTTGTAATACCCATTTACTTATTTATTGGGTAATTTCTGTGAAATATGAAGTCATTTAATTTTTAAGAATAGCTATAAGACGACGGAACCGGTTTCACAACAGCTTTATTCAGCATTATTAATTATATATTTGATATACGTCAAATGAAAAGAAAGTTTGTGAACTTTAGAATCTCATCCAAATGCTTATCATGTTAACTTCATAAAGTTCTTCTGCTGTAATGTATCAATAACTGTAGATCTAGTTATTTTCCTGTTGTAGTCTTTTAAGGTAGTGGATCTTGAATCATGCAGCTTTCTCCTTTGTTGGTATCTTTAACATGATTTGAATGATTATTTGCAAACATACATGGTCCCGAAATCCTTACTGCTGATATTGCAGGATATGTCTAGGATATGCTTGTTAGCTTCCTTTTGTAGTTACATTAATGACTCATAAAATGATTCTAAAAGACAAACAAACATCTATTTAGAGGTAAATCATACTCATTACTTAATAACCTACATATAAGGTAACGTATTCTTAAACGTACATAACATATGTTCTTACTACATAGTACCGATATACATTTCAGTCGTACATCATTTGAATATATTTTTAAAATTATAAATAGAACAACATCCAGAAATTAGCTATTGTCATTTCTCAATAGATATTTTGTCTAATAACAATAAATAATTTACAATCATGCTTACATTCGATCATCCTGACTTTTCAATTGTCCTCAATTGAACCAAATCTTATCATACATTAAAATGACAAATAAACAAAACAAAACAAAACAAAAAAAAAAAGGGTTGATCTTTACAATATGGTAACTGGTAGTTTGGGGACATTTGGAGGCGATAAAGGTTACTACCTGGGACTTTGGTAATAATGTGAGCAGTACTCAGTTCCGATTACGCATTATTTTGTGTGAGGGAAATGAGAGATCATGGGATATGTCATGTGATATTAATGGACGAATTACGGTTCTTTAATCGGAAAAGGGGGGAAATCGGGAAAAAATCTGGAAATTTTGTATTTGGCTTTATTCTGTGTTGTGTGAAACAGTGTTGGTTAATTTTTGGATCCCATGGCCGTAACTAAAGTGAAGTCGAAATGGGTATTTAGTGGTATTGAAAAGGGTAGTAATAAATGTTTGTTTAAGGTTGTGCGAGATAGAAATAAAGATGTTTTATTAAGTTATTTTATTTTACCTGGTACCTTGCTGTGAAAATATAAGTATGATTTTAAAGATCCTGAAACAGAAAAGAAGAAAAGTTTATCGGACACATAATCAAGATTCTGAAGAAGATTAGGTAAGTTAGTATTTTTAATTATTTGAGGATATTATTTTTATGCATTGTTCTAAATGTAAGGTGGAAAGGAATTTGGTATTATTGGGAAAATTGTTATTAGCAATGATTTAAAGTAATTAGGATTGTAAGGTAATTTTTATTAATTTAATGTATGTGCTCATTTATATTTTAAGTAGTGTTTTTGAATTTAATTATATTTTAATGAAATAATAGTTATTTTGTGAATTTTATTTGTTTTTATGTTTGTAGGAATTTGGTATACGTTTTAGTTGAAGTAAACGTGCATGGAAATAATTTAAAATATCTGACACTAAGTATTTGTAATGGTTGCGGTATGAATTCGTTGGTGACGTTTATAATATAATAGATGATTTAGAGGTAAAAGTTTTTGGATATTTTATTTATTTTATATGTGGAAATGTTCATATTTGGAAAGGGTAAATACTTTTTCGCTATCAGGTAATTTCATATATGTTCTTTTTACCGGGTTTAAAGATTGAGAAAATTGTCATGTATTTTCGTGAAATTTTTCTAATTTATGAGAAAGAAGCAGTGTACATGGATATAGTGAAGAGTGTGCGCAATGCCATTTTTGTGCAATTCTGGGATTTTTTTTAAGTAAAAATAAGTCGACGTGTACATGGTTTAGTGATATTTTAATTAAATGATAGTTATTTTGTGAATTTTATGTTTGTAGGAATTTGGTATACGTTTAAGTTGAAGTAAACGTGCATGGAAATAATTTAAATATTTGATACTAAGTATTTGTAATGCTTGTGGTATGAATTCGTTGGTGACG